CCCACGAATCATCTCGAACTCAAATCTCAGGATAAAGTCAAATTATACTCCAATACACATAACTTTAAAAAAACGCCGAATACAGTTCCTAGCTCACATAATAAGAAACTCCGACCACAATCTAGTACTGGCTTTTTACATACAAAGGGAAACAAAACACTATGGTACTACAAAACCATAAAAGATGTGATGGAATTAAACATCAATATGAAACAATTTATAAAACTGAATAATTGTAAGAAATTTATCAAAAAATTATTCCGCATCACAGTCCAAAACTTTCACTCAATCAAATAACGAAATATCATCATCAATATATCTATAAATTTCAAAAAAGCGATATATTTAAATTCAATATCACTATTAACACATCTGTAAATTCTAAAGACGGTAGTATTTAAATTCTTGATTCAAATTCTTGATTCAAATTCTTTTCAAGTAATTAATATACTCTTCAAAATATAAGAATAAATTTGATTTAAATAGATAGCAACAATAATTCTTAAATATGGATAGCAACCATCTAAGATCTTCACTAATGAATTTTAACTTAAAATAAACCACCTCCCACCTTTAAAGTAATTAAAATATACTATAGTTTTTGGGTATAGGCTCTTTTTTTGTCCCACCCCTTTTTATTAAGCCTATAGACGTTTAAGTATCATTTTTTGAAATGGTGCGCGTACGAGTACGTGCGGCTTGCCCACAAACGTGTAGGGCGCCTCATATTTTTTTTTACTTTTCACCCAAAATAAATTTGTTCCAATTAGATGGAAATGAAAACCTAGCGTAGCTCTGTTTGAAATTTTCAACGCCTGATGGCAAAAGCGCTATATATCACGTATCACGTATATAAAAAAATAAATAACATTTGCATTGTTTAAAAAAAGATTATTTAGAAAATATTATTAATCTACAATTGTAACTCACTGAATTCGGGGAAATTTATTATTTTTTAAAAAAAATTTTTATTAAAAAAATAATAAATATGATGTAATAATAATTTAAAGTTTCACTACTCAAAAGTTTTAAGAATTGCATTTTTAGTAAAAAGATCGGGTTTTTACACTTATCGGCCCGAGCCGATATTTTTTGGAATACGCTAAATATCGGTACCGATCCGATATTTAATATCGGCACAGCCCTACCTTCCAGTAAGGGCCATATTTTATGCGAAATCGCTTTACTTAAATCAATCATTAGGGCAAAAATGGGGGACTTATGCATTCGCTTTTCCCAGAATAACCTTAAGCGCCGTGGTTAGTTCCATTGTGTTTCTGCTCTTCCTATAAGATGTGATAGCGTTTGAGAAGATCCTATTGATGATTGGTTTGATCCTGATTGATATAATATTGAACATTTTTAGGGTAACCGTGATCAGTGCAATATCTCTATGATCCTTCATGGGCTTCTTGTTTTTAGGGAAATTTAATATTATCGATGTTATCGCCTGTATTCCATATCTATTAAAAATTATATCTGTATCCATCTTCCAGAGTTCCAAAAAGATCCCATCGATTCCGGTAGCTTTGTGCATTTTAGTCGTTTAATGGCACTGATTATATCCATTTTGCTCAGGTTCGGTTATGTGATTGAAATGGATAATCGCATATAGGTCTTGGCCACCTCATTCTGTAAAGATTCATTTAATTATCTATCTATATAACTAATTGTTCCTTGGGGTCTGTAATAATTGTAATCTCGATAAAGGATTGGATTTATAGTAGTGAGTAATTTGAGAAATTGGAAAGCCTTGTATATGTTATTGTCAAAATTAAATTGTATAGATTTAGATAAGTTGGCAATAAAAAGCCTTTTATCGGTTCTTATGCAGTGAGTAATGTATCTCCTGTGGTGTTTATTGTTAAATTTTTCATTATCTATATTGTTGAAGGGGTGAGCCACTCTTTTCGTTTAATGGGTCTTAAGCATGTTATACAGCTTGATAAATTTAGCTTTATATTTTTCCAGGTTTTAGGGCTATCACGCTGTTTAACATATTTCTCCAAGTTGTTAATTTTGTGATGAACTCTTCTTTTACATCCAAATCGTTCAACTGTGCCAAGTCTTTCCTAGCTATGAAACTTACGGTGTTAAGATGGTTCCGTTGATCATGGTTGGAAAATTGTTTAGCCTAAGCTCGCATTCTAGTGGATAATGGTCCGTAAATGGACTGAAATTTAATTTGCTGATGACTTTGATGTCTTTTACCCACTTGAAGATATTGGTAGAAATTACAAAGAAATCAATTTGTGAGGTTATGCCAAAGGAAGGACTTCTGTAGGTCATGGTGTGATGATTAGGATGGTTGAAAAAGGTATATCCTATTTTCATATTGAAGTGTTCACAGATTTCTAGTAATTTCTTGCCATTAGAGTTCATACTTTGTACTAATGTGGCGTTCCCGAGGCTGGTAGAATTGTTAGGTCTGCCTACCAAGGCATTAAAATTCAGATGAGGCAGTTCTTTTAAAATATTTCCCAGTTCAATATAAATATTTTGTCATTGTGAGGTGCATATATGTTAAATAAATGCTCGTAACCCATATTTAAGGTAAGGCAGAAAATGCGACTAGAAATTGCGTTGAAGCTTACAAATTTAATTGGCTTATTATGTATCAAAATCGCCACCCCTGCTCATACGTATGCAGCATTCGAGCTGCAGTATAAGGTGTATCCTATGAGGTTTCGTACTTCCGTTTCTTTCAGGTGAGTTTCTTGTAAAAGGAGGATGTTGTATCGTTTATCATATATAGCTTGCCTAAGAATATTTAATTTGTCGCTTAGCGATCTTATATTTAAGGAAATCATCCTAATACTATGGTCTTTCATTGATAAAATTTAAATTATTATAATTACCGTGGAAATTCTACTCAAGAAAGAATGAATATATATTTTTTTCGTCATGATGTATAGTATAATTGTATATTATAGTGTATAATAAGGTTCTTATTTTTATTATGCGTTACCTAAACTTATTTTGGGTGATATTCCTTACATCCCACTATTGAGAATTTTTTTATTATCTGTATCGTTGAAGAGGTGAGCCATTCTTTGCTCTTAATGCGTGGTCTTAAACATGAAGTTAAGCAGCTTGATATCCAAATCGTTGTGCCAAGTCTCTCCTAGCTATTAGGATAATTTCTTTAAATATAAGATCGCTAAGCGATGAATTAACTATACTTAGGCAAGTTATAAATGATCAACAATACGATATCCTCCTTTTGCAAGAAACTTACCTGAGAGTAACGTAAGTACAAAACTTCTTAGAATATACCTTATATTGCAGCTCGAATGCTGAAAACGTAGGGGCAGGGGTGGCGATTTTGATACATAATAAATTAATTAAATTTTCAAGCTTTAACCCAATTTCCTGTGGCATTTACTGTACCTTAAATATAAGTTATAAGAAATGTAAAATTTTAAGGGCTATAAAATGATATATAACATGTAACCTTATCTTTAATTTTTTTTTTAAAAAAAACAAGATTTAATGAAATCACGCATTGGGCGATTTTCTTTTCGCCTTTGAATCGTATCTTTGGATGGTTGAGCTAGCCCTCTAAAATTTTATTTTTTTAAAATATACAACTTAGATTTCTAGCATACCAAGTTTTATTCATTTTTAAGATGGTCGCCTGAATCACTGGTCGATTTATCAAGGAATTGCCCGCAAGCATCTCCTACCAATATCAAATAAAAAATTATTAAAAATATGCTAAAAGATTTAAATTTTTTAAAGTGATATTTTAGTATATGAATAATGTTTTTTATCATGATTTAAACATAAGTGCTATATTTTAGAGTTGTATATTTTTAGTGCAGCAAGAGAATATTTTTATTTATAGTTTAAAAATTACAATAATTTTTTCTACCATAAATAATCCTTGGTTATTTAGAGAAAATGTTTATTAGGGTTCATTAATGATGAATATCCTATATTTCTTTTTAATAACAAAACTAGAATCTAAAGATGCAATCGCTATAATTAATATCCTATCTTCTTGAATCTGCTGGATTTTCTGAAGATTATTTTTAAAAAAAATTTGTATTTATAATATCATCGTTGACATCAATGATATGGTTGGGAGGAAATCTGGTGTAGCAACTTCTCTATTCCCATTATATCCAATTATTTAAATCCACCTATAATAAGCAGTATCAGATTCTATATAAAGTGTTACATTAATCATCTAAAAGCTTTTATTGATAAACCAATCCTACAAAAAAAGTTGTGAATTAAATATATTCTGAATTATGCATGAAAATTAGAATGGTGCTTGATTTACAATTGATGTTTAGAAGTATTCTTACTGTAAAGGCAGTCTGAAATAAATTAAGACCCTTTGTACGCTTTTCAAAAATATAACTGGATTTATCAACAGTTCAAAATTTGAAAGGCTGCCCAGAAATCTATGATGTTCTCTTTAAATTATTCAATTTATGTTATAAGTCAATAAAGCCCGCGATTTATGTTTTGCAATTATTTAAAATTAAATTAACCATCTTTCCACTATCGAATTCTTTTCCGTAGAATAAAAAAAAAGTGACTAGCTGATGAGCCATAAGTTTCTAAAGAAATCAATCAAAGAAACGATCGGTTATTAATAATATTGAAGAGCTACAATATATAATTAACTTTTTATTTTAATCATCCAATGTTGTATTATATTATTTTTAAATAACATTTGTCCACCTTTTTTTTGACCAAATTATTATTTGTATATTATATTATATCGTTTTCTATAATTATGTGTTGAAATAGTTCGATAAGCATCTCAGAGACATTTTTAATTGGATGGAATATATTTTTAAAATACACATTTAAAAGTAAAACATTATTCGGATGATAATAGCTCAACTCAAGAGATGAGCATATCAAGGAATTTTTTTAATTGGGTGAAATCATACCCCCGCCATAAATTTTAACTACAACACGATCACATCTTCATAAAATCATTAAAAGTGAAATAAGATTTATTTTCAATTTATATTTTTCAGGAGCGTTTTTCTTGGAAAATATAACCCTGCTATTCCACGAAAAACACGTTAAATTTCTATCAACCATTCAGAAAAATAAGGAACGAGTTATTGGTGGTAATGATGATGACGCTTTTGATATAAATATGGAAAATATACAAGAAACAAAAATGGCTGGAGAAAAGTGTCATCTATTTAATCTATTGACCTTGCTTTGCCATTTTTTTAATTTTAAAGTAATCAGAGAATAAATATTACTTTCCATTCTAAATATTAATAAAGATAGTTAACGGAAAGGAAAAAAAGAAAGAGAAAGGCTAGAAAGAAAGTAGGAATAAAGAAAAAAAGGAAAGAAAAACAACAAAATTATGATATTTTTTCAATATTTGTCTTTTTTTTTCTCATTAAAGCTTAGCCTCTCTAAACTACCTTACGACATCGTACTTCGATGCGTGGAGAGTTTTAAAACACTCGACTTAGAATTATTGATCCACATCTTCAAGATGTGCGGCCAGGGGTTGAGAAAACAAGATCCCTCAAAGATGAAACATTGCATTCAATCTGTACAGACTAAGATTAATCAGAAAGAAATTACTGGTGATAAGTTTTTTTTTAATTTAAGGGGGTATATATATTAATAATGTGGACTACAAATTACTTATATTTGAAATCTAGTTTTTCATAAAATGATGAAAAAATTAAAATTATGTCATGAAAATATTTGAATGAAATAATAGGAAACAAGGAATGATGGAAAGGGAGAAAGTAGAATAAAGGGGTAGGGTAGAATCGAATGAACTTCCACTTTTCTTTTAAAAATGTTCAGGCAGCCACGGTTTTGAGTGAATAAAAAAAGTCTGCTCTTCAAGTGACATTTCGTTACTTTACAGGAATATTATTATAAGAATGTAATATTTTTATATATACAATAATAATGAATCACAAAAGATGAATTAACTATGGATTCCAGAGTTCAATACATGCTTTCCATCCTTCTAGCTCTCAAAAATAATAATTTCAAAAAAATCCCGGAATTTTCTCTCGATCTCGTTCAACGTTATTCGACTACGCTTAGAGGGTATAAATAGGAATTAAAATATCAAACTTTTTTAAAAATATACTATAGGGATTCGCATTTATGATGGTAATGATTTATAGAAAAATAGCAAAATATAAATGTTGTTTATTAAATAAAAAGAAGGAGAAATATTATCAAAGCATTGCATAAAATCACAAAATAAGTGATAGACAGTGCTTCCCTTAAGGAAAGGAAACTATATTAGAGGGGAGGGTAAGATGGAAGAAAATGTGGTTATATCGAGAGAATTAAGGAAGGATGGAAATAATATATTTAGTCATTGATGCAAGTGTAATTCTATGCGAGAGGTCATTTAGTTGAAGCTAATAAGGTAATATCTAGTATTTTGAAACTATCATTGAAATCTACTAGCTTTATAGTGGTGTGTGTTAAACAGTTGGACGACTTTATCACTAAAACAAATAATTTTCATGTTCTACTGAGAGAGGGTGTCTAGGGAGTATCACATTTTAGCTTTTGACCCTCTATAAGTATATAATCAATAAAACGCTCAACAGGTTTTTTGTGCATTGGAATTGTGTCTAAATAGGGACGTTTTGTCCCGGATGTGGAAGGCTAGGGTTAAGTCATCAATAATGAGTGTAGGGAGAGGATTTAACGGAGGGAAAGGTTGGATGAAGTGATATCTAAAATTTAACAAATATATTAGAAACTAATCCGATTTCGAAATTTTAGGTTTATGATCGATTCATGTATATCTTTAATTTTGAGCCCAGAAGATTATTGTTTTTAAAAATGGTTAATGATCTCATAACATGGTCCAAGGTAATGTACTATGTTAAAGAAATTGTTAAGTAAAAAAAGAAGGTTTGTATGGGGAGAGATTTATCAGCAGTGCTTTGATTAAGATGCTTAGGAAATTAGTTTAGCAAAAAATTTAACCGCCACTTTCCATAGAGGCAGGTTAATGAGCTAAATCGCTTTGGAGTATAACTTGGAATAGGTGAGTTGGGTGATAAATTTAATGGGCTAAAGTATTTAGGAAATATTAGAAATAAATATCCTCCAATAATTTAATACCAAATTTGGCGGTTAAAACACTCTGAGATTATTTCTGTCAATTTGATCAGACCCCTCTTTTGACATATTAAGAAAGATACTTTATCATAAATATCTCACATTTATTTAATTACCAAACTTTAAAATTTAAAAAAAGCTTACCAAACTCCAATTCGGAATCATTCGTTCCATTTGACCCCTCTTACCTGGATTTAGTAGCACCTCAAGCTCCCGGAAAATGGTTTATCGTGGGTCATTCAACTCTCACTGATTCCTTACAACCCCCAAAAGAAAACAATCATTCACTTATTAATAAAATGCGCCCTCTTGGAAATGACATGATGGATCATAGCCAGAATATCAACTCAAACAATGCCCACACCAATGACAATAAAAATAATATTTTTGATGCCAATGACCCCTTAACGATATTAGCTACCCGCATGCGCATAAATGGAAGCGATCAAAAATCTGCTTTTGCCGCTATAATGTCTTCGCGTGATTTAAACGACGCATATGCCAAGGCATACGCCCTCTGTACTCGTGGGGGATTTGTGGGGAGCAGCATGTCACGAAAAAGTTGTAAATTTAAAATTAACTCCCCCTTCATTTAAAATATAAATAAGTAAGCTTGTTACAAATAAATGAAATTGATTGAATACTTTAAAAAAAATGATTAGATGAGTAACAATAATGTATAAAATTATTATTAAACTAAACGATAACTGATCATAAATAGCCATATTGAAAAATATATCTTGCTAGATAACTTGCAGTCTTAATTGGGTAGTGCCAAAAAATACTAAATTCTTCATCTACCGGGTCGATTTTTTTCTCGGACAAACCAAACCTCCAAAAATGAAAAATAAATAAATAAGGAATCAACCTTATATATTCTTTTTTTTTTAATTATAAGAGTTTTATAATGTGCTTCTTTGCCTCCAAAAATGTTTATATCTTTAAAATTATATGATAAAAATGCATAATTCTTTGCAGAAACTTAGTTCACCATAAACAAGGTTAATGTAATAACCAAGTTATTGACAGAGTTTAGTTAAAATTTAAAACTCTGGGTGGTTACTATTCCCCAGTATACCATTCAAGTGTTAACCCACAACACTTAAACCCCGTCAATAATTATATGCAAGTTTTGAGTGTAATGAAAAATATTTGATGCACGTGAAGGAAACACAAATATGGAGCGAGTCGTGGCCAGTATATCTTTGCACTGCTGTTTGGCCGAAAAAAGCTACAATCCATTTTATTCAATGCTAGTAATTCGACTTTGCGCCGACAGTCGAGATTTTCGCGTAAATTATTTATAAAATGATTTTCATATCCTTATTTTTTGTCTCCTTTAATTTCTTCATAGACGTTGTCAGAATTTTGCTAATGGGAATGCGCCATACATTTAATTTTGGAGGTATTTAGGGCCACTTATTGCAGGCATTTTTTTAAAAAATAATTTTGGTATTTCTTTTTTTAATTAAAATTTTGAATTATAGTCATTATTTAAAATATACACTTATTTTTTTTCACATTATTGTTTATAGTGATATATTATATGGTATTGAGGTGTTGTACAGAGAATGTTAGATGTATAGGCGCTAATTTTATGATATTTACAAAACAGCAATTTTAGAAGTGGTGACGCCCCCGTCTCACCACAACAATGAAATCCTTTTATTTATTTTTTTCTAAATAGAAAGATGCTTAAATATTAAATGTTTGATTATAAAATTTAAATAGTCCAAAAGTGCCATGTAGAAAATAAATCTGACGACTTAAATAACAATAAAATGCGAACATCTCCCCATTCCTTTAATATGAGAATTTACAAATTAAATATTTTTATTTATTATTTAGAGAATGTGCGAATTCGCCATTTGGGACAAAATATCAACTTTAGAAACTCTGAAATTACGTCAGATTCATAATTTTAGTCTCTTTTCCTACGATCTCCTAATAAATAACGCAATCTCTTTGATATTTTTAAAGGTGATTATTATCTTAAAAATTATTATAAACGTTTTTCTTTTTTTTATTCCTTTAACTTTTCTTAAGTTTCTTAATAAATTTATTTGGTATATTTTTTTTTATCAGAAATTCGATTTTCTAAACCTAGCCTCTAATTCTCGTACCTTCCTGCGCCTGCTTCTATTCCAACTCTTGACCATCGATCACATCAATCAGCCTCACTCAGTTGTTGTAAAACTTTTTTCGGACCTCTGCACCTTCCCCAAATATAGATATGTTTATGAGGCCTTGAGACTTTTTGTTCATTTCTTATTAGATGGTGGCGATGAATCGAAGGATGATTGTCAACTTCCAAAAATGTTTAGTGAAAAATTGAATGATAATCAATTGAAGTTAGTTATCTTAAACAAATATTGTCCTAATATGATTTATATTATATTAATTTATGACATTATATCATTTAACCGCAGATCCAAAAATTCTGAAATCTCAAAAATGTTTAGTGAAAAACATTTGGAGCTAATGAAGCGCCGGTGGGATGATATAGAAGCGGTAACCGAACGCGTTTAGTAACCTTGACTTTTAGAGAATTTATGACAATCATGGTTCATGGCTTTCAGCAGGCTACCTGGGTTAGCCACTAGACATATTATGGACGGAATTTATTAACTTTGTATAATTTATATCTATATTTATTATTAATTTGATTAATAAAATATATTATCGTGTTTAAAACTTTAATCAGTGCTACATTATTCATTGGGTAACTATCCTACTCCTGGGATAGCCAGCTCCCCCCCCCCAAAAAAAAAAAATTTGTCCCCTAAACCTGGCCCCTTGAAAAATTTGCCCCCAAAAATATATACCAAAAATTTTTCCCAAATTTAAACAAAAATATTAGTTATTAAATTTTACTACCAACAATTAAATCTAAATGAAAATACAATAAAATTTTTATAAAAAATCAATTTATACAAATTAATAAACAAGTACCTACACAGGGATCCAAACCGAAACGAATATCGGTTCGGGTTCAGGTTTGAATAAAAATAACGGTTCAGGTTCGGTTCGTAAAAAATTAAAATATCGGTTCGGTTCGAACCTCTAAGAACCGGTTTGAACATTTTTGTATCCAAACCTACATTCGAATTATGTATAGGAAAAATATTTTTTTTATTTTATGATTAATTAAAAAAACACATGTATAAAACCTTCATTTTTATTAATTGCACATTAAAAAATAATATTTAATTTATAAATATAAAAATAAGAATATATATCAATGATTAATTTTAATATGAACAATATTTTACTTTTTTTTACTTAAATTTTTTTATTAAGCCGCACAATTAATATAATTTCAAAATTCGTCTCACTCAAATTACACTATGAGGAGATAGTATAAATTTAATTGTTGAAAAGCATCTTTCCACACTGTCTTGGGTAGCCGGCACTGCCAATATGATATCAGATTTGATGTGTCATTTATAATAATATTTTGGATTTAATTTTTCTCTAAGCATTATAATTTACAAGCTTAAAATATTTTAAAAAATGTTGTAAAATGATAATATACTAAAGTTTATAAAAATTATGTCCAACACTTATCAATCAAATGTGATTGATGATAATCTTTAAAATAATTTGAATGTAATTGAAATTTTTTCAATATACTAATAATAATTTACATGTTTTATAAGCATAAAATCATGAGGCTCGAACCGGTTCAGAGACATTATAGTGGTTCGGTTCAGGTTCGGCTAGAATTTTTTTAGCGGTTTAGGTTCAGTTTTAAAAAATACCGGTTCGGTTCAGGTTCGGTTTGGATCCCTGCCTACATATAAAAATATTAGTTATAAAATATCCAATCACTCATTAGTCACACAAATGATGAATTTGGAGGATTCAGTAATTGGAAAAATGCGTTAGCTGCAAAGAAAGGGTTGCTAAAACATGAAAGCTCATTTCAATAACATTATGGCATGATAAAAATATTAATATATATAAGGATACTGAGAGAACCACAATTTTGGTATACCAACAAATTAGCCGTGAATCAGAGTTGTTAAACACTACTTTTAAAAGTAGCGCGCTACCACTATCGATAACCATTAAAAAAGGTAGCGCGCTATTAGCTACTATTTTTTTAAAGTAATTTTAGCTACTTTTTATAAAAAAATTTAGTAACAAATTTGTTTTATTTTTTGCTTATAATGTAATTGTATAGTAAATAATATATAAAAATCAACATTTATAAATTTTAAATATAGTTAGTTTTGATTATAAAAATAAATATTTATGTTAATATTCATTTTTTATTTATTTGTTGTATTTTAATATTAAACAAAAAATGCCCCTATCCCCTAAATAAACAGTTGGCCGCCCCCCAGCTGAAAATTTTTGGCTACGGCCCTGGTATCCTATTATCTAAAATTATTTTAAACTTATTTATTATAAAAGAAATTTAAATATTGGCCAAGGCCTGATGTTATATAGTTTAGATATATTTCAAACGGGTAAAGGTCAGCTCTTAAAATAAAATGCTAATTTTCGAAAATTTGAAATTCTTATAAAGATAAAACAAAATTTATGTTATTTGATTGATTGATTTCTACAAAGCTATATATATCGAGTTAACCTTAGACTTAAAAAAGGTGTATATATGACGTCGGAAATATATTTATAGTATAGTTTTATTTATCGATCGCACATCTTATAACAATAGTCGAAAAATTTCTGTCATGGCTTAGATTAAATAAGGAATTCGGTTTATATTTCAGGATAAAAATTGAAACCCGGTTTAGTTGGCAAATTAATCAATAATAAATTGAATTTGTCAATCAAGTTTCAGAGTTGGAAAGTTTCTCAAAAAAAAGAATCTAGATTTGTAAAAGAAAGGATATAAGATACTTGATTATTTTTAAAATGATCATTACCTATTAAATTAAAATTATTTTAATATAAAATAATGTGAAGAACATAACATAAGTATATAATTAGAAAAAAAGATTAATTAATTTGAAATTTTTATATAAAAATATTTTAGTTTTTATTTTCTTAAATAAAATTATTTTTTAAATAATTAATTTTTCAGATATTTATCATTAAACCTTTGCAGTTTTGAACTAGATAACATTGTGCCAAAACTAAATAGCCTTTACGCTGGAGCTGATGAGAAAGTATTCCAGAATTATATTTTAAAAAATCCTTTATAGAAAGATAATAATTAATGGTTTCTAATTTATACAATCTTCTATTTCTAACCTAGCTCAATCTTATTTGTATTATTAAACTCAGAAACATTTGTTAAAGTTATTATTTTCTTGGTTAGATGTTAAATTTAATGATAAATTTACTAATAATAAAATTAAATCATTGTCTATATTGACCTATATTTTTTATTTCTAAATTCAATAGTTAGTGCGCAGCCGTGAGGTTGGCCTCAATTTGTTCTTTGAATATCTCAAAACGGTGATGATGGTACAAATTGAACTTAAAATGGTACAAACGTTCTAGATATACCATTAACAATTCAAAAGTGGGTGCCAACTAGAGGTCTCCATTGCCCGCCCATATCAGCCCATACTTTTAATGGGCATGTCGGTTTTTTTAAAATATTTTCAACATTGGGCGGGCGGGTTGAAAATTTTTTTAAAGTAAAGGGCGAGTAAATTTTTGATATTTTTCAGGCGAAATGAGCAAAACAGACTTTAATTTATTAAAAATAATAGTTTTATTTCATAATATTGTATATTAAATATTTAATTAAAAATACATTGAAATAAATAAATAAAGAGCCAAACCAGCCATTAAAATAATTTTTAAACATTAGGCGGGCGGGTTAAACAAAATTTATAGATAAAAATGGCCGGGCGGGTAAATTTTTTAAAAAAAAATTTAAGTGAGCAGTTAGGTAGGTTAAATAAATTTCAAAACAACGAGTGGGCGGGCTTTCTGGCTGAAAACCCGTCCATTGCAGATCTCTAGTACCAACTTCACGGATCTCACTATTTACAATAAAAAATTTAAATTTTTATTTTTAAAAATAATGTTCCAAATACAATAATATTATTTGTATATGTTAGTGGCAATGTGTTTTTTCCGGCATTGTGTTTTTTTCAACTTTAAATCATTTTTTGAAAACTTTTTAAAAATCTGACTTTACCAGAAATGTATTCCTTCATGTTTGGAAACCCTATGAATTAAGATGATTTTGCCATGAACCTTTGAACTAATATAATTTATATTAGCTTTTCCATAGATTTTTCTTATAAAAAATCATAAATAACTCAAAAGGTAACGGTAAAATTATCTACAATTCATAAGATAGATATTCTAAATTTGCAGGAATAAATTTACGGTAAAATCAGATTTTTAAATTTAAAAAACATGCTCAAAACATGATTTAAAGTTGAAAAAATAACTTATTGCCACTAACATATATAATTTTAAATAAATATTTGTTTTTTTTGTAAATTGACATATAGGAGGATTTTATTTTTTTTATTTTATCAGTATCTACCAAAAATATAATGGGTAAATTATAATTTACAATTTTTAATTCAATTTATATAAGGTCTTACCCCTATATCTTTGTCCTCTTATTTATCCCGTTCCTTTTGATCGACAGACATTTCATAGGAATTCTGGAAAAAGAACCCCCATATTTTTTTCTTCAATATTATCAAATTTACTTAAGACTAATGCGGGCATATTTTTATTTGCATTACAATGCATATAATCATCTTTATAAGGTATGAACAAATTAGTGTTTTATATAATATAAGTCAAAAAATAATAATTTTATTTTTAAGCTAAAATTTTTAATGGTCCTAATTCATTATTTGAAGGTTATTCATATACCCTCCATAAAAATGCTTAAACAAGATAAAATTGATGTTCAGAGTATACCGGGAAGAAATATCCCCTTAAAATAACCCATGTATTTCTTATCTTCGTTAAAATTATTTACTATAGAATAAATACAATATCCATCCACAATTAAGATATTAAGCACCAAATTTCACTTTTGTGATAAGATATATTTATTTTATTGGTGAATTATTAATATGTATATACAAATTTTATTTAGATAATTAAATAGGTTGACATCGAATATTCAAAGAAATCGCTCTTATAAAATCTGGAAGACGAATCCCATCACGGTATTTCTCGCAAAGTTTCTTTAACCGAATCTAGTTATTATAACCGTGATTTAGTTCTTGGTATTCATTTACCTACACGCCATCGTTCAAGTTTAGTGTCATAGGCAGCTACCTCGCATTTCATTTTTTTAAATAGATACCCAGATTGATGGGTGTTTATTTCCAACAAGATTAGAAGAACGATTATTCTATCCTTAACATTGATTATTCGTGCGTTCTTCGTCAAATAGAGTACTCTGATTCACATTTCAGGTTTTCGAAGGAAATTGAAACTACACGTCTGGGATTATGAATTGTATTCTGCGACCTCCCTTGATACTCCATTGAGAAATAATCAAGAATATCCTTAGCATTGTTCAGATTAACCGATCTCAGGAATGTCATTGCATTGTCCAGATTAGAGGTTTGCATTGGTCGGGTTTCCTGCCCGCCCGCCCACGCCCGCCCATCTAAGTGGGCGGGCGGGTAAAAATTTTTTAAAAACGGGCAGGCGGGCGGGTTAAAAAAATTTTTTAACAATGGGCGGGTGGGCGGGCGGGTTAAGAAATTTAGAAATT